GAGGGTGCTTTGCCTCCCCTTATGAACCAAATTCTTCCCTCCTGAGGGTTGAGCCTGTCCTTCCTGACCTCAGACAGGCTGGCTGAGCCCATCCCAGAGAGGGGCAGGCCAGCGAGGGGAAAGATGGGCCCAGCGGCAAGGACAGGGGACACGGAGGCTCATGCATTTGGGCTTCATGGTTCTTTTTAAAACATATATTTTTATTGATTTCAGAGAGGAAGGGAGAGGGAGAGAGAGAAACATTAATGATGAGAGAGAACCATCGATCGGCTCCCTCCTGCATGCCCTCCACTGGGGATCGAGCCTGCAACCCAGGCATGTGCTATGACTGGGAATCGAACTGTGACCTCCTGGTTCATAGGCTGATGCTCAACCACTGAGCCACGCCGGCTGGGCCACCCTCTCCACATTTCTCATATGGTTGGTTCTTCAGTGGGAAGTGGCGAGTGGTTTGGGCAAGGGACTACCGGGCAGGCTTCAAGGCTGGAATCTAGAGCCAGGCTGGGTGGCAGGTGGTGACATGGCAGGAGCTTGGTGGGCCAGGGAGGACGAAAGGGACAGATGGCAAAGAGGTTGGAGGGGGTGGCTAGCTGTGGAGCTGAGCAGGACAGTGGTTCTCTCATGGGGCAAGAGGAGGTGCTGGGCATGGCCCCGGCAAGGGGTGCAGCCTGGAGAGCCCCGGCTTCCTGCTCTGTCCAATGGACCCAACGCACCCACCCGATGGGTGCTCACTGCTCCCAGCTGAGACAGGCCCTGAGATCAGACTGGACTCGAGGAGAGCTTGAGAGTAGACTGTGTCGGGTGTGGCCCAGTGGCCAGGCTGAGAGCGGGGGGGACAGGGGGCTGAGTTGAACCACCAGGTGGTGGGGGCGGGGCTGGGCAGCTGAGAGATTTCAGGGAGGCCGTCAGCAGGTGGGGCCTGGTGGGGTGCAGATGGATGCTGATCTGGGAGCTCCTGCATGCTGGCGGCCCCCAAGGTCATGTGGGAGATCTCAGGCAGGGAGAGAGTGGGCGTGAGAGGAGAAGGGGGCAGTCAGGGCCCAGCCAGAGGCTCCCACACTTGAGGCTGGGTTGAAGATTGCTGTCCCCAAAGGAGGTGGTGACAGCCACACCAAAAGTGGCAGGAGGAAAACTGGGCAAGGGAGGAGGGACAGGTTGGTGGCAGATGACTTTGGTTTGGGAGTGGGGGGTTCCAGTGGAGGCTTGGGCAGCAAGGGGTAGGAGGGCCTCACTCCTGTGGCCACTGTGTTGTCAACACACTGACCTGGGGGTGGAGGGAGTGGCAGGGCAGTGAGGGACACTCCTACCAGATGCCCTCCCTCTCACCTCTCTGCCAGGCTGTGGCGCAGACCATGGACTCCGTGTTTAAGGAGCTCTTGGGAAAGACTACCGTCCGCCAGGGCCTGGGGCCAGCATCCACCAACTCTCCCAGCCCCGGGCCCCGCAGCCCGAAGCTTCTAGGCTGTGGCCGCCTGGGCAAGAACAAAGGCTTCTCCCGCAGCCCTGGGGCGCCGGCCTCACCCTCATCCTCATCGTCCCAACCCCCGGGCCTGGACTCACCCCTCAAGCCACACTGAGGTGCTGCTGGCTCCTCAGCAGACCGCCCCCTCACCCTAAGGGTTGCCAGCAAGACCCTCCTCCCTCCCCAGGCCTTTGCTTCTCCCTGGCTCTGTCCAGCAAGCACGGAGCACCTGCTCTTGACCCTTTGCGGAAAGGACACGGCTGCCCAACCGAGCCCCTGCCTGCCCCAGCCCTGGCTTAGGCCCCTTTGGGAGGCAGCCAACGGAGGCTGGGGGCAGTCCCTTCCCAGCTTGCCTGTGAGGGCTCATCAGTGGCTGTTGGGTGGTGGGTGCCCTTGCTCAGATGAGCAGGCCTGCCAGTGCCCAGGCCCTTCTCTGCTTCAACCGAGGGCACGAGACTGGCGGGGGTTGGCAGGCCTGGCAGCCATTCATAAAGACTTGAGCATTGACTCCCCTACGTGAGCCAGGTCTCTTGTTTTGGGGGACTGGGCACGTGGATATAGGGCCAACCCCCTGTCACCCTCACTGCTTGAGGCCAGATGCCAGGGCGCTCAGCAAAGGCGGCAGGGTGGGCGGCTGGACCAGCTTCTGTTGGGGGGTGGGGGGCTCGGCACAGGGCTGTGTGGGCTGGGGGCTTGGACATTTGAAGGCTGTCACCTGCATCGTGAGCTCCATAGTCAGACATGTGTGGGGAGGGGCAGGGGGGTCTGAGGACGTCTTTCCATGCCACCTTCACACCCACTGTTAGCCGGATCCAAGGAGACTCACTGGGTGGGAAATGAGCTGACACTTTTATTAGGGAGAGAGTGAGAGAGGAACTAGGGAGGTGAAGAAAGGAAGGTCTCCTGGCCTCACCCCCTTTCCCTCCTCCTGGGCTCCATGGACCCCCATCTCCCACGCTGTTGCCCTCTCTGTACCCCGCGCCAAGGAGCTGACCTCCTGGGCCCCTCACAATCCAGAGCCAATTCCCAGTGTGCCCTCCTCTCCCAGTGAACCCGGGGGGCCTCTGGAAGGAAGGCGCCCCCTGGCTTCTCAGGAGGAAGTGTCCTTGGCCAGGAAGGAGCTGGCAGTGGTACAGGACTCCTCTTGGGGCCCCAGGCTGGGCGGGGTGCGCCTCCGAGCGCAGCAGAGCAGGCTGCGCAGCTCTGAGGAGACGCTGCTGCTGAAGGAGGCATAGATCCAGGGGTTGGTACAGCTGTTGAGGCTGCCCAGCAGCATTAGCAGCACGAAGGGAGTCCCTGTGTGGGGGGAGGAGAAGGATTGGGGGCTGCAGGTACCCAGGCAGGGGTGCGACCCCATGTGCCTACTAGGGGCTAGTGAGCCCAAGGCTGGATGTTGGCGGGGGGCAGGTAGAGGTGCATATGCAGCCAAGCCCCAACGCTTCCCGTAGCCCTACCACAGCCACACCCACCTTCCTTCGGTGCCTTCGGGTCCCACGCCGCCCACAGTTGCACAAGGAAGAAGGGCGCCCAGCACAGCACGTAGACGATGACAATTACCAGCGTCATCCTCACGGTCTTGGCCATGGCTGCCGACACAGGGGCTCCCTCGCCAGAACTGGCTGTCCGACGTCCCCTGGCCCTCTCTGCTGGCCCTGGCACCAGGCTGGCATGAATCTCCCGGAAGATGAGCACCTGACAGGCAGCGATGCCCAGAGCAGGTGCCACAAACACCATTAAGGCAATCCAGGTGACATAGGCACGGAGGCCCCAGGGCTCGATAAAGAGGCCCCAGCAGTCGAAGACCCCGCTGTGGTCTTCCACTTCGCGCTGGGCGAAGATGAAGAGCTGGGGCAGGCTGAAAAGTAGTGAGAAGGCCCAGGCCAGCAGCACCGGCTGGTTCCAGTGAGCGCCCCCTCCGTGGCGGTATGCCACCATGGGGTGGCAAATGGCACGGTGGCGGTCCAAAGTCATGGCCAGGATCATGTAGGAGGAGGCATACATGCCCACCATCTGCAGGTACTTGACGGCCCGGCACAGGGCATCAGGCCCCTGGAAGCGGTCGGTGGCATCCCAGGCCAGCTGGGGCAGCACTTGGAACAGAGCCACGACCAGGTCAGCCAGGCACAAGTGGCCGATGAAGACGTGCATAGGTGCCCAGCGGCCACGCCGGCCATGCCGCGCCAGGGCCCCCAGCACCAGGCTATTGCTC